TTTGGCGAGAGAGAGAGACCTTCAGATAGGGCATACGTGCTTCCTCCTCACCTCCGCTAGCCTCCAGTATCTCCTCAACCAGCTCATGATGAATAGGCCCGATCAGCAGGTGAGCTGATTGGTGAAGCAAGTAGCATCGAGGCAGCCGCAAAGATGAAGAGGAGGTAAGAAGTGTCCCTTTTAGAACAGACTGAATCTATTAGGTTTGTAGTAAATTGTGTAAAGTGCTACAGTATATATATCAATGCCAGCAAGGACAACGCAATGTTTGAGATTATAAAGACAGAGGCTGATTCTCTCATGCTACAGAATTAACATCCAACTATATACAATGAGCCAGTGCCTCATGGTCTTTTACAAAGTCAGTGACACACTGTGTAAGGATAATGTTCATTCCAACAAAACAACAATCCACTGGCTGGAGCCTCACAATTTATCGTCATCATTTAACGTAATCTATATTTTATGCTTCTATTCCTTTTTTTTCTTTTTTTTTCTTTTCAGATTTCCACTAGATATGCATTGTTAGATCTGTCTAACAATGCACAGTATGTGACTTATAGGAAACACTTATCAGATTTGTGGAAATGCCAGAATAAATAAAACACTGTTTCCTTTTGTAAGCAGCACATTACCCACTTGCACGATCTTTTACTTGCATAAAAGTGGCAGTACCACAGTGTGGAAGTAATGAAAGTACTCATTAGGCTATATTGCCCATTTCACAATATTGTATTATAATTGGTGATGCATTAATGTGTACATAATTTTAATGTTGCAGCTTGTGCTGGATAGCTTAATCAATAATAATAAATATAAATTATAGAATGAAAAGTGCAATACTCCCCTTTTTAAATGTAGATGAGCAGAAATACAAAGTAACATAAAATGGATATATTCAAAGTAAAAGTACCTCAAAACAGTACTTGAGTAAATGTACTTAGTTACTTTCCACCATTGCCCACTTGAGTTGTAAATGCAACCCTGGAATACAATGGCATTCAACACAAGGCAGAAGGCAATATAAAAGGAGAGCTGAGTGACAAGTATAACATGTATAGGTATTGTCAGTTGAAAAAAGTAGGCACAATGTAAGTTTTTAACTTAAAGCCAAGTATGGACATCCAGAAACTACAGAAGGGTGTGTCTTTGTTTCAGCATAATTACAATGTGTTTCATTACACAGAAGAGCAAAAAACAAGTCGTAATGAAAAACCTCTTACTGTTCTAGTGTAGATTAAGAAGAATAGAAGATTGATACCGCTCTCATATTTGTCTGTGAAGCTGAAGCTGGAGCTAGGAGATGGTTAGCTTAGCATAGCACCATGCCTGGTAGCAGCCTGCCTGGCTCTGTTCAAAGGTTAAAAAAAATAATAAAACACCAACAAGCACCTTGCTTTAAATCTCGTTTGTTTAATCTGTACCGAAGTGTACAAATGACAAGTTTACAGGGGAGCTTCTTGGCCTCATAAATCCACGATTTATATTTTGGTTTTTGTGTGGATTAAACAAACAATACTAGGTGGATTTGTTACCTCAGGAAGAACCAGGTTAGCCTTTTTCCCCTGTTCCCGGTCTTTATGCAAAGCTAAGATAAACTGTCTCTTGGCTTCAGCTTCATATTTAAAGAACACACATGAGAGTGGTATTGATCTTCTCGTCAAACTCTTGGGGGGAAAAAAGCAAATAAGCATATTATGCAAAACTATCCCTTTAAATCTACACAAGAACAAAACACATTTTTCAAAACCCCTGCTGGACTTTAGGTGATTCAGGTTTATAGGTGTATAGACAGCACTAAAACTTATCTGTTTTTTGTTCAGTGTAACACTTGAACATTTTAGACCTAAAGAACTTAGAACATTTTAAAGCCTTTCACACTTCAAATAGACCATTGTTTATACTGTAATGAGAATTAAATCTACTGTATCAAGTACAAAATGAGATTTTAGTGGGAAAAATATTAAGTCCTGCTGTTTATCTACTTTACCATGCAATGACTCTGTACCATTATTAGTTCTGAGTACACTACAGGGAGTGGAGGACAGGCTTTACCTTTCCATTTTGATTCCTTTCTAATTTCCAGTCTGTTGATGTTTTGTTCAGTTCCTCATGTGATTACATCCCTCATAAAACAGTGATTTTCCCAAAGCTTTTCTCCACGTAATAACAAAAGCAAGAGACCATATGAAAATGCCACAATAACAAAAGGATGTGCGAACAAAATACCTGGCAGCACAGAAGAGGTTCATCAAAAAAAAAAAATAGAGATGGAAAAAGAAGTTGGCTGTCTGTCACCTGGCAGAAAGAGAAGACGATTTAATAACTATGAACAAAGCTGTTCCCCCTAGCAAGTCAAACCTTTAATTACAAAACACGATAGGAGACCGGGGCCACCCAATATTACCTCGGCAAAACCTTGATACAAATCATACTAAACAAATGAAGCGTTTAAAAAGGAATGGAAAGGACGCAATAGCACTGCAGCGCAACTCGCAGAGAGAGGGACCGAGACAGGGAGACAAGTGAATCTGTGAGGAGAGGGACGGTGAGTTGCTCCTGAAACAGGCGTATGAAAATTGATGGAGTCTGGGGAAGCAATTGATTGCTAGAGGACAGGAAGCAGGCTGTAAGGCAATTATCACTATCTCTGCCATTTGATTTAAGACCCTCTGAGTGTGTAATACTGTGAATTAATCACATTCAAGGTAGATACATAAGGAGCCCATTTCTGCCTTAAAATTCAATGATTCTTCTCCATCAGTGGAAAATGTACTTTAGAGATGTTCTAATTAGCGCAGCATTTCCACTCACTCATGGTATGCTGTGTGTGTGCGTAGGAGAGACAGAAGGTTAAGCTTGGTTAGACAGTTACCTTATGTGAATGCACAGAGTACAAGTCAGCTTAATCATCATAAAAGCAAAGCTCATGACAAATATCAACAAAAGGCAAGATTCTATGTAAACCCACACAAACTTCCACATTATTTAGACTAATGTAGGGGGGAGAGAGAGAGACTGTGTATACAAAAACAAGTGTAAACACCCGAGTCAGCCCATCCACACATACATAAACGATATGTGCCACCCACAAGGCTGTAGCATGAGCAAGACGACGCTCCAACAATTCGCTCAAACATCTGCATGAATAACTCGAGATTTAATCATGTAATTCTTAGTCTATTAAGCATATGTTTACAGCAATAATTAACTTTTGGTCAAGTTTAATTCAACAAAGGAAATGGCATACAGTTTGTTGTTTTAGTCCAGGCTGCACATATTGAATATTCTGATAAGTTACAGCAGCAGGGCATCACTATCAATAAGAATAAATAAAAAATACTGTCTTGATTGTTCTGCAAGTTCATTTTAAAGTGCTGTGATTCATCAGTAATATGTATTTGGGAAGATATGCAGATCATTTGTGCCCCCTAATGGAAAGATTCATTCTTGTAAACATCTGTGTTGTGAGATGAGATGAACTTCCCCAAAGTTATTGAGCTGGTCTGTCCAGAAGAAGGATGCAACTTGTTTGTTTTTCCTGGATAGATACCATTTAAAGCTTTTTGTCCATGAAGAAGATCGTGCGCTTATTTGTATTTAACATGTATATGCTGCACAGAGGAGATAAGCCATCTGTTTTGACCAACATAATGTTATATTTATCAACTGTGTCATAATGGTTTCATCACAATTTTGATAAAACTTTGAGATATGTGAGCCATCAAATTTAAATATTAGCATTTGTTGATCCACTGTTATTCAATGACTGATTTATGCTCATTACTGAATATACTATAGTTGAACTTAATAGCCATCTAAAGCTATATTACTTATAGATTTACAGGATGTTGTATAATAATTTTATATCAACATTAGGAAAAAAAGTCTCTACAGTATCTGTGATTAACTGCTTCTTCATTATTTAAGGCTCCTGTGATCAACAGCACTGTTACGATTAGTTGCTCTTGGAAAACCATTCAGATAAGATAGATCTTTTGCCTTGATAGAATACATTTTTACCTCAAAATACCTCTTCAGTCAGTTTTATCTAAAATGAGACAATCCTCTCAGTGTGCTTTAGTTCCACCTTTCCTGTCAAAAACTGTCCTACCAAACAACAAGGCTGCCCTCTGGTGGTGTTGGGAGACATGACTGAGAAATGGCCTTGTTTTATTTTTTTTACATTTTACCACCTCACAATCTGTAGTTGAGTGTCTTTACTCTGCCATCAGTCAGGTCTGAGAATAAAATTAACTTTAGTTTTACATTTCAGTGACCATAACATTACTCATGAGAGTATGGGTTAGGAAATATCTGCATTCAGAAGTTTTATTGTCTGCAAAGTAAAGAAGGGGCAAATAGATCTGCAGTCTCCAGTTATAAATAACCCAAACTTGTATTTTTATATGCACCTTTTGTTGTCGGAAAATAAAACTTTAAATGTAAGATTTACAACGGCATGCGCTTAAAATGAGCCTTCATAAACTTTCAGTCACAGTTCATTTGTTAGTAGGTTTGATTTATGGAAGCAAAGAAAGGCCATAATAATTTGAATCTTAACCACCTTGTTCTTTAAATACGATTGAAACTATAGCATTGAAATATTTTACTTTGTAAACCAGTCATTGCATGGTACTATTTTCAGCAGCCTGAATGTTCATCTTCAATTTTGGTGTTTTTTTAACTTTCCTTGATCCAGAAAATTACCAACTGAATCTAATAAACATGAATACAGCTTTTTTTGCATAGTGACCACTTGGGTTTTCTAAATTTATTAACCCTTAAAAATATACATACATTCAGTATTGCATACATTCATATAGCTGGTTTGCAGTGTAAAATGTTTCAGTACTGCCATTTAATCTTAAACAATCAGCACTGGTTACATTTTTATTTGGTTTAAGTTGCTAATTATTGAAATATATAATATATTATAAAAGCCCGTCTTTGTTTCCATATGATCCCTAACCTGTGAAAAATGAGAAGGACAACTTGAAGTTACTGTAACACTTTATTTTCTTAAATACCACAGAATATTAGTACAGTCAGTCACACGTATTTTTAGAGGCAGAACACATCCTGGTCCCTCATCCTACTTTCATAAAGGAATAAAGGGAAACCTTGGGTGGCATCAGAGGCTATGTTTACACACAAACTCACTTATACAGTAAAGAGTGCTGACCATATTCCAGTCAAGGTCTTAGTCAGGTTCAATTGGCACGCAATTTAGATAATCTGAGACAGAGTATCCATGGTGTGAAAAACACTGGTCACTTCCCAGCTGCTCCCTCCCTGTTGCTCCGGGAAAGAAATTATAATCCCAGTAGTAATATTTTTGGTCCTTGTAATGGTCGGGACAATAACCTTGAGTTACATGCAGGGCTAGAAAGAGACTTACAGGCTTCGTTTGCCAAATGAACATCTACAATGTAGGCAGTGTCGAATGTACATGACTACATGTACAAAATTAGGCTTGAGCATGACGGCCTTAATCTTGCAAACCAATTTATAACTACGTACAAACTAGAGAGGTCTTGAACAGGTTACTCCTAATTGAAGTACAGGTTTACCCAGGTTATTTGGAATAATGGCATTTCCAAGAGTTAACACAAAACCAGAATAATCACATTAACCGCAGGTGCCTCCATGCATGTAAACATAGCCAGTGTTGTCAGCTACAGTATATACAGTGTTCAGGCAGTGCATGATGAGACCAGGTCAGAAACGCCAAAGTCAACAGTTAGAAGATTCATATTTAGGGGCTAAATCTCACCAGTAACATGTTTGCAGTCAGGTCAAGACATCATTTAAATCAACTTCTGACATTCTGTCTCTGAATTCATCTTTCAGTAGTACCATCACTGAAGCAATAACAGATTCATTGGCACATTAAACACCATCATGAACAGAGAGTGCTATAATGAATATAGATCATTTCTGACGTTTAAAATTGTGTGAGATAAAAAAATCTAAGCAACATTATCAGAGAGACATATCTGTGTGATAGTTTTTTTTCTTTATAAAAGTCATCAAAGAACAAAGGGACTCTTCAGTGTAACAGTGCAGCAGTGTGAAATGATGTATTCATAGCCATTAAAGTCTGATAGGCAGAAGGACACTGAACACAAAACACACTCGGAAAGGATGCAGCAGAATAGGAATGTGCTGTATTCCACTAGATAAAAAGACGCATTCAGTTCTGAGTGCGATTAGGTGGAGACAAAATGGGATGCAAATTACTTTCTAGAGAAATACAGCTTATTTACAGGGTAGGAAAGGAGTGCAAGGCTAAGCTTTCATAGACAATCACACACTTTTAATATCCACAGTATATACCAAAAGACATGCGTAGAGGCACATATATATTCATCACACAACAACAAAACATACCAGAAGCAGAACACCAGTCAGACACGGCTTTTGTGAAATCTGATAAAACAACAACAATGAAATAAAAATACGCACAAAAGCATTGACATCAAGGGATGTGAAAAGGCAAAAGCTGATATTCCAGCCCTTTGAATTAAAAAAAAATATTAACATTGTCACAACAACAAAGAGACATCAGTCATTTTCCTTCCATCTTTTAACCAATACTGAGTGCCAGCCTCATTGTCAACATAATTCAACAAAATGTTTTCACCTGAAGAAATAATACGAGGTACAACATTTGTGTTTGTTTTTAAAAATTGGGTTCTCTACTTTCCCAGAATGTTAAAACATTTGTGTGGCGCAGTGTCAGCACCTTGATTTAAAAGAAAAAAACATTTAAACAAAATCCCTGCTTTGATCCGTAAAAGAGAGGGGCAGAATCAAAATGAAAAAAAATTGTGAAATGAAACAAATAGGGTCAGAAAGGTATATCAATATCACCAACTTGTATAGGATGGATTGGGTTTCTGAATGCAATATACAAATGGGACTGTAAATCGTCTAAATAAATGCTTGCATATTTTAAATGCTACATTTCGAGCAAGACAGTCAGATTATTCTAAATACGATTGGGTAAAAGACATCTTAAGAAACTAGGCTCTTAATTCATCTGCTCCCCTTGACAGAAAGTGTATTTCTGTATGTTGAAGTAAAACTACATTCCTTTAAGAATGATTAAAAACAACCTCTCAGACTAATAAAAGAGCAGAGCGAAGATGCAAGGACTCGTAGCTATGTTTATGTAATACCTGTATTGCTACAGACAAATAACAAGATTCCCCTTTCCTCACTGTAAGTCACAAAAACACACCCTTCATCTTTTCTTCTTTTTTTTTTTTTAGCACACTGTAGTTTGGCAGATCACATCAAGAAGAAATAATCAAAAGTCACTGTCACAAACTGATAACGGTAATTATTTTTTAATTAATGGTCACTACAGAGTAAAATAAATCAGACCCAACTTAGTTTCACTCATTTCAATTCTTACTCCTCCTTCTCGTGGAGAGAGGCACGTACACGCTTGCGCACATAAAAAGCGGTAAGAGCACTGCAGCAGGCAGTGAAAATGAAGAGTGCAACGGCATCGTGTGCGAGGTCGCCATGAAGACGCTCATAGAAGGGACGGCGCTCTGTGAAGTCTGTGCGGAGGGCTTCCACCTGCATCAGGGTGCACACCACCACAAACACGTGAAAGAGCTGGTGGCCCTGCCCGATGAAGTCACACCTCCCAGGGAACAAACTCTCTGGGTGAGGGCAGCAGAAGAAATACGCGCCGATTAAGAAAAAGACCACATGGTAGAAATGGTATGCCACAACTGGGTCGGAGCAGCCGTCCCGGTAGCAGCTGTAGATGCGGTGAACCACAGGGCTTATGTCTAAACAGTAAGCCAAGGCTGAGGGCACTACTTGGAAGAGCTTGTGGGTTAACTTGGGCAGCTCAGGACTCGCATATTTGCCATAGCAGCAGCCAAAGCAAGTAAGCCAGGCCAAGAATGCTGCGGCGGGTAAAAAGAGCCCTTGCACTCGGGTGTGCCACTCTTTCTCTATGGCGTAGTAGTAGTGCGCCAGGGCACTGCCATACTGGTAGAGAGCGACCCCCACGTAGTCGAGGAAGTAGAAGGTGTAGTAGGAGAGCTCGGACTTGGCAGAGAGGAGATGAGCGAGAGCACTGAAGGAGAGGTAGGTGAAGGCTGCCAGGAGGACAATGAAGAGGGGCTGCGCGTGAGGGTCTCGCAAAAAATCCACCGTTACAGAGATCTCCTGCCACTTCACCAAAATAATGAAGGCGGCAAGCAGATGGGTCCACACATTGAGGGTCTCGTTGTGCCTTTGGAAGAGGGTGAGGAAGTAGTAACGCCAGCTTTGGTCTGGCTGCCTATAGCCGGTGAGGATGTGGCGCTCGCGGAACACCCAGGGAACATCGGACACCTTCACAGTGCAAGGCAGCGTGGGGAAGGCCGATTCCAGAAGCTGAGGGATCTGACGCAGCTGCTGCGCATTGATAAACAGGCGGCCGATCTGCTCCATCACCACGGTCGCCATGGCAAACTGGAGGCCAGAGGGGAGGGCGGAAAGAATGAAAACAGTCAGTTAATCAATATCCGTCTGGTTTTGAGCTACTGTTGTCTGTTTGTGTGCATCTGCCTGTGTACTAAATGCATGTATAGACTGCAGAGTGTGTGTGAGTGTGTGTGAGTGTGTGTTCCTGCAATACTACTACTGCATTAATCATTTGGTCAATGAACTTCAATGAATCTTTTTTTTGGTCCAGTTGTTTGAACAAAACAAGCAATTTAATGATGTCACCTACGACTCTGGGAAATTGTAACAGGGATTTTCACTGTTTTCTTACCTTTTCTAGACCAAATGATTAACCCAAAAGGTATCAACAGCTTAACTGATCATAAAAATCATCATGACTTGTAATCCTAGATTAAGGTCAATAAAAACTGCTGAAATATTTATTTTTCTTATGCCCATCAGTAGCAGATGAAAATACAACACTGACTTATTATCAAGACTTTTGCATGTAATGGCTAACATCTTACCAAACAGTTAACCCATTCAGCAGACACGCAGCAATATCAACATTCTTCAGGAGCCGTGTTTTTGGCCACCTGACGAACTAAGTCCAATATTCACTCTCCGCTTAGATCAGTTTTGGTCTCCACAAGTAAAAGATCTCTCTCTTTAGCTGCTAAATGTCCCACTATGCTCACCAGCTGGTAGCTAACTGGGTCCGTCTGGCAGGTAGTGTACAGTGGGTTTCTTGCTTATTGGTTTTATTAAAAACAGCTGCCTTCTGGGTCTGGAATTGGAGTTAATGATAGTGGAGTTATGGGCCAGAAAACCAAAAGAAAATAAAACAAAACCATAGACTAAACTAGACTAAATGGCTCTATAGAGATGAACTGCAGTATTGAGGGATAATCCTAAGTGGACACTGACACATTCACACTGGTAATTGAATCCATTCTTAACAACAAAAACATTGATTAGTGCAGCTTTAACTGTTTTCATTTGTATAAGTGAATCACCCTGACGATATTAAAATAATCCTGAATCATGGATTCTTGGCAAATTGTTTGATATTTGAGTGTTATTCGTGGTGGCAGCAGTTTTGATTCTTTGTTTTTGTTTGTTTGGCTGACCACCTGATTGGTCTCTCTGAATGTGTTCCCAAGCCTTCAATCAGCTCTACAACACAGTGCATCCCTTTGAAGGACCGGTGCAAACCACAGGACCACGGGTGCAATTGAGCTCTGACCTTAGTGGCCCTTGCAGTCATAAATTCTGACCAATGAGGCCTTCGGTATTAGGGATTGCAGATGGGAAATTACAAAAGTGTAGAACTCGACACAGAATCAATACTTCCTGCAGCATCTATGTTTATGAGGTGTAAGTAGGATTTGAAAATAGTTTTTAATATGAAAGAAAGTGGAAGCTAATGCTGTTACAAGTTCACAGGTGCCTGTTTTGTGATAATCCAGCCTAGTACACCCAGAGATGTTAAAGTATCACAATATTAATGATTATTATAAAAGACAGTTGACAAAAGTCCTGACTTTTGCTGCCAAAGGCATTTATAACTCTGCATGATTGGTTCTTCCCCATCAAATCTAGCTAAACTAGTTCTTGGACTCGACCTTCAGTAAATAAATGACTTCAGGTGACTGACACAAGAAGGGTATGGTAAATGTGACTGACAGTTCCTACAGTGCTTTCCAACAAATTTAGATTGTGTTTTGTGTTTGTTGCAACACTACTGGATTAAAATGATAGTAAGTTGAACTAGAATCACTGTAGGGCCTAATGATTATTTTGTTGGGTTAGTCCCGGCTCTACATACACCGGGACCTGGGTTAAAATCAGTAAAACATAGGCCATCACCAATTTGATGTGCTCTCCTTCACAGAGATGTTGGGAAGGCAGAGAGCAGAGGCAGCAGCTTCATAGCTTCATAGAGATCAGGCTGTGTGGGATGAACACAGGCCGAGGTTCAGGAGGAAAGGCGTGGAGTGATGAATGGGAAGACATTATGTAACATAACCCCATCCGACGTCCACACCCTCCGCTTCCAGCAGGGGTTGCAATCCTTTGAAATATTTATGAGTTAAACAATAATGCTCGACTATGACGAGGAAGGTTTTTGTGCAGGTATTAAACTAGGCCTATATGGGCCTGTTTGCCGCGAATTCCCACGAGCAAATCTGCACCTGATCTACATGTCTGTTTTAAATTTGAGATCCAGTGTACGAAATCAATTTGCATTCACCCTTCCTCTGAGCCTCGAGGCTTGCTTCAGTCCTCCATGTGTATCCCAACCCTCTGCTCTGTGGTGTTTCGTGTTGCATTAACAAAATAGCGATACACGTTCGAGGCGCGTCTGAACGTATTTCACGCTGTGCCACTGAGATATTTTACAGAGAGAAAAAAAATATTGTATAGTGAATTTTCGACATGGAACATTAATAGCGCTGATAAAATGGACATACCTGGAAATGGTAGAATCAATCCAACGTCTTAAGCTTCGTAGTCGACGAATGATTTAGAGCCGTGCAGAATATAGAGAACATTGTTTGAAGGGGTGAACGGAGAAAGGATGACCGTGACGGGAGCAGCGCCTGGCGGCTCTCACAGCGCAGCTGCCGGGAGGATACAGGGGCGGTTTGACAAGCGGGCCTTCTAGCCAATCAGCGAGCACGGCGCCGCTCTTTGCTGCGGCCGCATTCATCGTTGTGGCCAATGACAGCTGCCGCCTGGCCGATCATGCCCGCCCACCCTTCATGGACATTCTTCCAATGCCGTGAGAATGCATGGCAGTCCCGTGAGACACGATAAGGGCTGAGGTCATCGAACCCGTTGTTTGTCTCACAGGTGAAAATATGTCTATTAAATTGGTTTACCTGTGTCCCTACGTCTTGTCAGTGTTGCCATATTCCTGCCCACTTTGCACATATCTCACACGCATGTAGGCCATGTCATGGTGTGTCATGTGTTAGGGAAAACAAAAAGAAAAACAGTTAACAATGGATTTAAAGGACAATTATAACCTGGCACTGGCCTGTAGGTAATGAATTGGTCAGTGTCTTCAGTGAGCCAGGCAAATTTGAAGATCCTACACTCAAGTAAGGTTTATGTCAAACTTCATGCTTGGTCTAGAAATTGAAGCATGATATCATGCAAATTACAGCGATAACCCAACTTGTTCTAATTTGGTTTTCAAAACAAGCAATTTCCCTCCTTGAATAGTGTGTTCAAATCAGTCATATGGCCTGTGCCATTCTCTTGTTTAGCGTTACAAAGTTCCTTTGTTAGTGTTTCTGAAAGATCTGCATTGTTTCCTGATTCAAACCATTTTATAGCGAATATTCCCAACAGAGATGGATTTCTGGTGTCTATGATAACGCTGAACATGTTTCTGGCCTCCTGAGTATTTACCCACTCTAAGATAATCTGTGTTCTTACTTGAGTAAGGCCAAGTTCAGAGAACATAAGCAAAAAGTGTCAGAGGCTCACAACATGATTCATACTGTGGAACAGAGCAGATAAAATTGATGCTGATAATACCTTGGTAAAGCCACTAAAAGTATTCCAAAAATCCAGCACAGGTTTAAGAAAAGGGTCTAGGAAAAGAGCCAGGCTTTGTCCCCTGTGTTGTCAGTTGAGGAACACTGCACAAGCTGGGCTGACGGGTCTAGCAGTTTCCTCCCAACACATGACAAAGATGGAATTGTGCAGCTGTGTGTGTGTGTGTGTGTGTGTGTGTGTGTGTGTGTGTGTGTGTGTGCGCACATACCAATGCAGACTCACCCCAAACACAACCAACAATGTTTAAATTTCTTCAAATTATGCTTTTGTCACTTTCAGCCCAAATAAATAAATTACTACTTGGCTATCTAAACACAAGTGAAAGGGATTATGATATGTAGGACGGGGTATGCTTCAGGTACAACTTCTCATATAGAAATAGTTTCTATTGTTGTTGTTGGATTAAGCACAGTAAGAATCTCTAATCATGTCAGCTGAAGAAAAAGGATGGTCCAGCAGTGCAACTATGTGTGACTTATACTATCCATGTGCAAATATTTTTTTAGCATTTTACATTGAGTAGTTAAATTATCAGTATTATAAAAGTATAAGTAAAAGTGTAAGTATAATTCCACCATTGTGGTGCAATTTCAAATGCATAGCACATAAAATAAGTAATAATTCTGATATCCTTTTTTGAGAAATAAGAATTAAATATACATTATACTAAATGGCAGTAATCACAAATACAAACTTAAAACTCCACTACACAACTAAGGAGGTTGAACCAGGCATGGACTGGGGCAAACAAAATGGCCCAGGAATTTGTCCTTTCAATGGTCAGCCCACTCTCCAGACAAAGCATTGTTGGGGGCTCTGGGTCTGGAAGATTTTTATTCATGCATTCTTAAGAATTTTATGTAAGTACAGTGCATCACAAAATGAGCCCTTAAATTACATTTTCAAAACTAGAAACACCTATCTAGCTCTCCTCAAGTAAAGTAGTCCCTTCAGAGGCACCCTTGAGTACAATAAATACATTAAAGGGAAGAAGCAGTCTAAGTGCTTTTGAAGGGGCACTGACTTCCTGGCCCTGGCAATCTATGTCAACAGCAGGATTATCCACAGCCTAGAAGAGCAATTCATATCAGGATTAGGATATTCTCACTAAAATGTAACACGATGGTAGTATTTAATATTATTACATAGCCTAGGCCTGTTAGCATGTTATGTTTATTAGTATAGGCCTACTACTCCTAGTACTACTATTCAGGTGCCGAATTTACCAGTATGCAAGATAGGCAGCAGTCATTGTAGTAACAGAATAATTACAACTAGACAGAGGCTACAGCAGGTTGATCAAGGTACATACCAATCCATTTTTAACTACAGTTTTTTGTTTCTATTTTAACACTACGTGGCTTATCGGCCCACTTGTCCAGTAGCCCATCGGAAAAATTTCCAGTGTCCGCCCTTGGGATAAATACAACAGCTCTGAACTCGACATTGAACAAATGATACTTAGCATTGAGTGACATTTCCAACATGCATGACCGGTTAGACACTGACTGCAACACTGACTGCAAGCCTGTGCAAGCATGGTTAAACAAACCCATAAATCTTCTTACCACTACTTACACAAAACCTTGCAAATCATGTGGCATGCCAGGCGTCCTTCATATCTAGGCCTATATAAAACTATTTGTGATCCCTGGCCTTTGTTTTAATCAATTACTTGAGTTCATGCAGTATTTGCAAAAATGCCATCTCTTATAAACACCCAAGACAAATCATTTTGTGTACTCAACACATGCAACAGATTAGTGTAGCTACCTGTAGAAGTTGAGTTTGTGCTACCGTGGTGTCTGGGCATGTAAGGGTCTCCAAACCCATTCACAGTACAGCAAGAGTATACACTCACCGGCCACTTTATTAGGTGCACCTGTTCAATTGCTTGTTAACACAAATAGCCAATCACATGGCAGCAACTCAACTCACTCAATGCATTTAGGCATGTAGACATTGTTCAGACAACTTGCTGAAGCTGAAACTGAGCATGAGAATGGGGAAGAAAGGGGATTTAAGTGACCTTAAACGTGGCATGGTTGTTGGTACCAGACGGGCTGGTCTGAGTATTTCAGAAACTGCTGATCTACTGGGATTTTCACACACAACCATCTCTAGGATTTACAGAGAATGGTTCGAAAAGAGAAAATATCCAGTAAGCGGCAGTTGTGTGGATGAAAATGCCTTGTTGATGTCAGAGGTCAGAGGAGAATGGGCACACTGGTTTGAGATGACAGAAAGGCAACAGTAACTCAAATAACTACTCGTTACAACCAAAGTATGCAGAATACCATCTCTGAACACACAACACGTTGAACCTTGAAGCAGATGGGCTACAGCAGCAGAAGACCACACCGGGTGCCACTCCTGTCAGCTAAGAACAGGAAACTGAGGCTTCAATTTGCACAGGCTCACCAACATTGGACAAAAGAAGATTGGAAAATGTTGCTTGGTTGCTTGAGTCTCGATTTCAGCTGCAACATTCAGATGGTAGGTCAGACTATGGTGTAAACAACATGAAAGCATGGATCCATCCTGCCTTTTATCAACGGTTCAGGCTGGTTGTGGTGTGATGGTGTGGGGGATATTTTCTTGGCACACTTTGGGCCCCTTAGTACCAATTGAGCATCGTCTAAACGCAACAGCCTACCTGAGTATTGTTGCTAACCATGTCCATCCATTTATAACCACAGTATACCCATCTTCTGATGGCTACTTCCAGCAGGATAATGCAGCATGTCACAAAGCTACAATCATCTCAAACTGGTTTCTTGAACATGACAATGGGTTCACTGTACTCCAACGGCCTCCACAGTCACCAGATCTCAATCCAATAGAGCACCTTTGGGATGTGGTGGAATGAGAGATTTGCATCATAGATATGCAGCCGACAAATCTGCAGCAACTGCGTGATGCTATCATGTCAGTGTGGACCAAAGAGAAATGTTTCCAACACCTTGCTGAAAGTATGGCACAAAGAGTTAAGCCAGTTCTGAAGGCAAGAGGGGGTCCAACCCGCTACTAGCAAGGTATACCCAATGAAGTGGCCTGTGAGTGTGTGTGACAATGTAAACTTGTAACAGTCGGCACTGGGCCCTTTTAGTTGCTTATGCACGATGATATTGCTGCTTTCTTTTACACTTGTGTGCTAATTAGAGCATACAGCAAGTGTGTCCCTACCATCCAAAGACATGCTAATGAAGTGAATCTGGCTTGGCCACAGATGTAAATGTATGTGTTCCTACAGTGATAGTTCACATGCTGGGATATAGGAGGCAGCTTGACCTTGAAGAGGAATATGCAGGTATAAAAAATGGATTGGTGGTCCTGAGGAAAAACATGTATTCTTTTTTTGATCACAAGACAGTGGTTCTTCCTAAAAGTGAAGCACTATTATGAGCCATCATCATTATATATTAATATTTAATCTTTTTTTTTTTTTATTTGTTTTCTTTTCCTTCTAAAATATGTAATTTTAAGTATTTCAAAAGAACAGCAATTAAAATTAACAAATTTATCTTGGGACACCTTGGAAATCACTGCTTTGAAAAATTACAGAAGATTATCCATAAGATGCCACTAGGTGTCAGCAGGGTACATTATATGCCACATGACTACTCTGTCAAGCTTCATTGCTTGGTAGAAATAAAACTATTTCATCTTCAACACTCATGAGGCACCAATACATTCAACACTCAACAGACTTCACAACAGAAAACAATTAAACTGTAGATACTTTAATGGTGATACCTCTGTATCATACAGCATATTCAAACGTACAGCATTATCAACAGTTCAGAACAATATTATATGATGCATTTCAACTTAAGTATAAGGACCAATGTATTACAACAGTGACTCTTAATGGAAAAATACAGTTCCAACCAATAAAACTAGTGTAATAAGCTGCCAATAAGAAAGCTACAAGTCAAGAAAAGTCACACTATATCCACACCCAACACTGTAAAACCAACTTTCATTCAACAGCATAATCACAACCAACACAACAAACAATACCAGGGCTGTGTCAGTTACAAAAGTACAGCTTATCTTTGGAGATGTGAACCATAAACAGATTAATTATCCTTTTCTTTAATTGCCTCCTTGTTCTTCCTCACTTCTTCAAGCTTCTTGTCCTGTTAGTGATTAAAAACAGAAGAATCACAGCGCTGTAGTTTTCCTTATTTCAACATTAGACATAAAGATAGGTTGATATGCCAATAGGAGCTTACCTTCTCCTTGAATTTCTCATTGAGAGCTGCCATCCGTGCAGTGCGGTTCTCTTTGTTTGCCTCCATCTTCTGATTGAGTTTCTCTTGTGCCATCTTGCTGAAGTTGCAGTTTTCCTCTATGGCCTTCTGGATGACCTCCTTCTCGTGCTCTCGTTTCTCGGCCAAGTGTTTTAACACTTCGGCCCCCTGGCTCTGAGAAATATGACAAAAGAAAATTTTTGCAGTGAATGAACAGAAGTTGAATTCTAAACCCATGTGCTCGGCTTTACAGCCCAGTTAATGATTTTCACAGTGGTGATTTGTTCGCATCTGTTTGCAGTTTTGTTATTCCTGACAATACCTTGCGTCTCTCTTCTGCAGCTTCCAGTTTTTTCTTAATCTCATCCAGTGACATTTCCTTTTTCTTAAGCGGGGACAACGGAAATTCAACCTTGGTATCTGGGGTAGAGGGCTTCAGGATGACCTCAAATGCTTGACCTGAAGCACGCTTGTTCAGCTCCCTTACTTGGATATCTGTAAAACAGGGCATTTGTTAGAGCTCACTGGTACAAGTGATGGTCAAAGCTGTGGCAGATGTATGATAATGTGAGCTCAAAGGTAATGGTCACAACAGCCGCTTTTTCATTACCAGTACCAGCTCAGCTCAACTCGCCTCCTCACCTCTACTCGACTCGGTTTGGCCGTGGTTCATTTTTCCATTGCAGATAGTACCCCTCAATGTAACTGGTCATAGCGACGCCACACACAACTGCCGCAATGTAATTTTCAATGCGACACACACACCCACGATCCACACAGCTTTCTCTTGATTTAAGTTAAAATGTTTCAACATTCCTCAGAATATAAAGACAGATAAGCGGAATGAAACCCTTACAGCTGTGTTTTCCTCTGCCGTTGTTGCTGCAGCTGTCTCTGTGACGGTGAGATCAGATGGCTGTGAGCGGGCGGCTGGCCAGCCTCGCGAGCTCCTCCCGCAGGTTGGCGCAGGCTTCCCCCGCCGCTCCTCAACTCCGAAAACTTTCAAGCACATTTTTGTTCCGCCGTGACTTTTTGTAAAACTGTCAATATTTGAAATCTGCACAGTTGATTTCTCATCTCAAAACTTCTCGAAAGTGGATTTAGTGATGAAATAAAATATGAAAATTGTAAAATATAAAACTCTCTGTTGCCGGTCTCTGTCAGGCACACGCAATGATGATGCAGTGAGTAGTGACGATTCTCTCTGACGAATCAATAGTTTGCTGTGTTTTCACGTCATATTTTAGCATCGCCTCAGCTCGCTTGGAACCTCGACGGAGGTGATACGAAAAAAAGTACCTGGAAGCAGGTACAGGTACAACTTTTCCAAAGGAAAACCAAACAAACGCGAGTAGAGTCAAGGCGAGCTGAGTTGAGCTGGTACTGTGCAGTGGAAAAGGGGCTAACATGGCAACATTGCTGCAAATTGCAAAAACTGATTATCAAAACTGTTAACTTGTTGATCGACCAATCAATAGACTGTTTCATCACTTCACTGCCATCCTAGTTTATAAGATTATGCTTCCATTGAGATTCGTTGTCCAACAGAGGGTAAATAAAGGAGGTGGAAGATGCCATCCTGCTACATATTTAGGGTTCACTGCTTTGTCAGAGATCAGAAGAAAACAATAATCCCTGTTTTATGGCAGCATTTTGCGTTTTTAATGAAGAGGAAGTAGAAACAAGATCTGACAAAACAAAGACCGTTTAGGTATTGTGTGAGTGCTGGCTTACAGATTGCGTTTTGCAACTTGCTATGCCAACCACATCAAAAAACTCAAGTAACTTGCATATAGTTGTATAACACATGTGACTCCTGCTTATGATTTGAGAGGCCTTAAGGGCATAACTTTGCTTTGCACTACTTTTCTGGTCGGCAGCATCCCTGGTTTAGCAGTTATACTGACATTTTTTGTTTTAGTCTACAGCCATACTGGAAAAGTTATCTACTTTTTGAAAATGTATTATTGTATAACAAGACCACTCATCCACATTTATTATTTGCATAGTTGACACCTACCTCCACAGCTTGCCATTTCAGCAGAAACGTTGCCTTTTTTGATAACACTAGAAGAAAACATGAAAAAGATTATCGTCAAGCAGTATATGTTCAAATTTACAAAGTGGATTAGCTTTATGCAGCATTGTCCATGTTCTCTCAGCAGGAGCAGCAGCGGTGATGCAGCTGACATTAACAGCCCAGGTTTTGATATATCAGTCAAGCAAGCCTGTTAAAAAAGTTAGATTTTTTAATTTTTCCTCCTGCTCTGGCCTGTAACAGACTCATCCCTCAACTTAATACACAGTGTTACACTTATGTTGTCTTAGTGGCTACATGTGGATTTAATTACTAATCTTCTCAGAATAAGATCTACACAGCAGTAGGTGCAAGTCATAACATTAATAATAATCTGTTATAAGCAGTCACAACATGTGATGACAGGCAAAACAAGTCCTCCACCTCCCTGATGCCTTATATGAGTATAATGTTAGAAGTGATAGTCACACAGTGGAAGGGTCTCTAGCATGTTAAGGCCATGTGAGTTAATCACCAGTAGGGTAAAACAATGGTGGTGAGTCTGGGGGCCCACTGCTGGAGACTGCACATACGTTTCTGCAAGATGTTATTACCAAAATGGCGGGGGCGGGGCAGTGGAAACGCTGTAACGTTAGACAACCTAATTACACACACACACTTTAAGTACTAATGCACAAAACGTCGTTAAGATAAAGTAATTAACGTTAAAATGATTATGATGAAGAGAACAATGACGTTCCTGACTCGACCGCTAAAGTTAGCTATCTAAACTTATAGTGCCCAATAGTCATAATTACATAATATCGACACAAAACAAAAAAACAAAACATGCACGCAGCCAAACTTTGTGTAAATTGGGTCATCTGCGTGAAGTGTATGGCAGGGTGAAAGAACAATTTATTCCTGTGAGTTTTAAAGGGCGTTTTGAATTTTTCATTGTTGCAAGTTAACATTAACTGAACGGCGGCGGCCATAACAACAAAGTCCGTTAACTTACGTAACGTTACTACAATTGACTTCATAATGACTTCAAAAAGTGTCCTAATCGACCTTTAACTCTTTCAACATGCTGTTTAAATTGTCTGAAAGCCTGGTTAAAACATTTGCATAAAGCTATTGTTCTCACCGTCAAGTGCTTGAGCTTGAAGAGCAAACCTCTGTCAGGTTCTTCTTCTTTCCTTTCAGACCGCCAACATCTGCACCTTCGCGCAAAAATCCACGTCACCACAGTTGTTTGCATTCATTGGTCCAAACTCCACCAATCACAGAACGTTTTGAAACTGAGCGCCAGGACCTGCAGGCCAAAATAACAGACACAAAGTTGGCAGGCAACCTCGTGGCTGTGAGAGCAAAACAAGTCTGACAAGACCCTGCACATTATATAACTGTCAATTAAATCATCCACATCAGCCAAATATGGCATCATAGATATTCAATGTTACACAGCATTGTGAAGGTAGGTACACTCAATCTGGACTAACCCTAGCAACCCAACAAGACACTAAATTAGATCTACTGTAGCCTAAATTATACTGCAATTACCTATCTAAAGAAATCCATCCATCCATCATCAACCGCTTATCCTGCATACAGGGTCGCGGGGGGGCTGGAGCCAATCCCAGCTGACATCGGGCGCAAGGCGGGGTACACCCTGGACAGGTCATCTAAAGAAATCAAAAAGCTTAAATTCCTAAATGGAACATTCAACAGTGAGTGCCTATTTTCATTCCTTGATGAAAGACATTTGCAAATGAACGTTTTGTAATTGTATGAGATAATGTGTTGTTTTACTGCTCTCTTCATAGACAGCCTATCTCAGGATGGTGTCACTTTTTCTCCCACCTTACTCTCCATTCCAAGTCTTTTCCCCATGAAGGTGGAAGGTTTATGACCACCAGCCACATGATCAGACATCCCTCTTGGACACAATGAATGCTGGATGTGTGGATGTAATAGGTGATCTGCAGAAGATTTCCAGGGATGGCTCAGACATACAAAAAGATAATTTACCATATTGCAAGAGAGGACATACAGTGTGATGTGGATGAGAACTGTTCAAAATCAAAAGACAGGACTGACCAGCACTATTGTATTTATGTATGTATGGTGAATATGTAGAGTTTTGTTTTGCATTAGTGGAATTACTTAAGTTTCCATTTGGGCACTTGGAATTACTCTGTGCAAAAAAAAACAAATAAAGCCCGCTCAAGTCTATTGCATTCATTTCTGTGACATGTGGAATCTTGATTTGTGTCACTATACTGTAAAGACATATATACATAAAATAGACTAAAAAAACTGCTGTGCTGAGCTACATTTCGGTAAAGAGAACTGTGTGAAGAGACCTGAAAAAGTAAGAGAAAGTATAGAGAAATGTGTGTTACCAGTTGTAGAAAACTCCAATGCAAAAACTGCATGATCAACCAGTTGTTTTCCTTTAAATATATTTTTTGCCCAATGTAGTCTACATAAAAAACATATTAACTGGTAACCCTTCTATTTGACACAAACACAAACTGAGCTTGACACAGGTGGCAAAAAACAATAATATCAATAAAGCATTGTACATTAATTAGGACATAGCTCATGTTTTGTGTCATATGAGCTAAACACAGAGACAGGTATTGCTTTTGTTCCAAAAGTGATTCACAGACAAAGAAATACACCGTATGTTATGTGATATGGGGTCAGAAGGCAGACAGGTCTAATTCCCTGTTGGTCATGAAATATTAAGGTGATAAAACAATGTAGGCCTACAGTTTATTTTTTGAGCTATTAAAGATCTGCCTGATGATGAATGATGCACTGTGTTCCTCTTCCTTTTCTATTTCTTTCATTACTTACGCAAAAAACTGGGCAGTTTCACCACCTCGGGGATGTAATACCATGAAATCAAATATTGTAGTTCATTATGTAGTAACAGGTTATGGTCCATTTGAATTGTTACTCCAACAATGACCCAAAAGTTTTGCCAAAAGTATATTATAGTTCATGAGTCATTAAACTGGAAATAGAGTAATATGGGGCAGGTTTAATGCAATAGATGTATCACTTGAATTAAGTCAGTTCTCCCAGGCTAAGTGTAAAGTGTTGCATGTATTTGCAGAACAGAAAAGTCTTCAAAAAGCCAAAAACAAGCCCGTGCTTAAGGTGAAAACTACAAGAATGTTCTTGGAGTGGGAGCAGCTGCGTCCTACGAACAATAAAAAAAGGGAAGTAGACATCAGCTGCCTACTGCTGCCAGCCAAGTGAGCGCACCAGTGCCAGAACAAAGAGGTCATTATAGGAGACTTACAGGGGTGTGTGGTTAAAATACCCAATGGTGACACTGTCACAGTTTGCTTTTCAGTCCCTACCTATGGTCCCTTCCTGCAGCCACACACTCTCATCCCCTCTGCATTACTCTATCTGTCCCAACTCCTCAGACCTGCCATCCTCAAGCTGTCCACCAGATGTCCTCAGTCCTTCCCTCTTGCCCCCATCACCAGAATGACTCACACCTGTTCCCATTTCTTGCATCAGCCCTGCAGTTACCAAGAGGGAAATGCTGCATTCCAGGCAACTCAGAACTTGGAAATTTCCGTTCTCCAATACAAAAACTATCCTGGAACACCACTTGAAGTCGAATTTCCTACTTGTGAACTCGGAGAAAAAATATGTACCCCGACTTCACGAGTAGCAGCTGAATGACGTCACAAAACAATCGCAGCTCCCATGGAAGTACACACTGTAGCCTAAATGGTAAACCATAAACTAAAAGGCAACAAAAAGTATATTAGCATGTATTTAAATTAAAATAATACATATACGATCATATAGTAAAACCTGTTCTGCATGTACATTGATGTAGAAATATGTTAGGCCTATTAGGTAGCCTTGCTGGCTACAGTAAAAAATCTTATAAAGTCATCTTCTCTGCAAACAAGTTATTGTTAAAAATGCCAAAACATTAGGAAGTGTAATCTACAACATTGACTGAATTGAGGGTTACCAACTGATGCAGCTAGAGGGGTACACAGAACTAGTAGCCTAACGTATAGGCTATTTATGTCAGTTGTTGCAGCTGCCATCCTTTGAAGTAACACCTAAAACACTGCTGAGGGTGCAACTGTGTGTCCACTTTGTCACGGTCAGCCATGGTTTTTGTTCACTTTCGGCGTCATGCACCACCATGCACCTATATTTTTTACCACCCTGACCCTCCAAAATTGTAAACCATCAGTCTTTTTGGATTAGTACAAAGATAATCTTTGGATGCATGTTTTGTACAGAAGTGGTGCATCCTACAAAAAAATATTAGAATATTTCTATATAACTGTAGGATGTTACATGCAGGCTGGACTGTGGATTACATATTTAGAGCTACAGAAATCATCAGCTGACACTCATGTCTCTTGCTTTTATGGTTTATTGGCTCTCTCTGACAAGAAGCAGATACCAACAGCTTGCAAAGCCCCCACTACAGGCCTGAGTCTGGACTTCAACAACATGCACAGTCACTGACAGACATTCTTCCTGTTAATCTCAATCCTGCAAACATCCACCTGTCTTCATTCATCCTAAACAAATAATAAAGACTGGCACAGATGGTTGGCATTACAAAGGATTTTCTTTAACTGCCTTATATCCAGCCACCAGATGCTTCAGGCGAATTAACATACCCTCTAGAATAAGAATACATGATAAACGGCTCTCTAATGTTCAACCAGAGTAGATTTCATGTGTAAAACAGTGGTTAAATGCTGCCACCTAGTGTTTGACAGAGAAATCCACTTGACGTGTAAATCACAGGTGGCAAACTAAAATACAATATTTTTTTTATTTTATTCCACCAACTATATCATGGTGGTATTCTTAAAGTGTTTCTAGATTTCGTTTATAGTAATAATTTTAGCAATTTAGCAATATGAAGTAAGTATCTTGTGCATTGCACATGGCATCCATTAAATGAACATAATCCACTCATGTTGAACACATTTATGGTTTGTTGCAATGGACACTTTGTCTTTTATGGTTATAGGCTATTCTTTATGAGTTTATTTTCAACCACAAACTCAATAAAATACGTGTTTCGTTAATTGAGAATGCCAAAGCTGATCAATTTGACTTAAGTTTTCAATACACCTACTTACTAGAGAATTAGAGTATATGGCACTGAAACTTACCTTGTTCCAGGTTATAAAAGGTGCTATTAATATTTAAAGCACCTAATAAAGCAAAATATTAATCAGCGTCAAGTCGTGTTCCGTGATCGTCTCTCATAGACTTTCATGTAAAGGCAGTTTTTTCGATCTGCGGCCGCTGCAATGCAATCTCTATGGGTTCCGGGAGGGCTCGCACGTACGTGTTTACGTCATGCGCCCAGCAGAGAGCTTCGCTTCTGCTAGAGCCCTTTAAAGAGAGAGTCGCGTCAGCGGGGGTCCAAAATGCTACATCGTCACGTGGTTCATGGAGACCGCAGATAGTTCTAGGCCTAGGCGGGCAATTCAAAATGAGCGAGAGAAAGCGATTTCTGGTAATTTATACAATAAATGTGTTGATTTACAATATTTGCACAGCACAGTGACACGTGTATGTAGTTACATTACTACTTTTTTAAAAATTATTTTTGACAATAAAAGCTACACTCACCTTGTGGACATTTTTTGGCCAACCTTACATTGGAAAATGTTCCTCTTGAAAACACGTTTAAAATTCAGATCAGATTTACCTTTCTAATATTCCTTTTAGTAATCCCATGGTACCAGGGTTAATTGATCTTAATGACTAATGTAATCTTTATGACTTCAGATAGAACAGACAAGTGACTATCAATGATTGTCATGTATTAATTTAATAAATCTCCAATAAACTCAGAAAACAGCATGTTAAGTGGTTTGTGTCTGAACTGTCTTACAATAGTCTACAGCACGGTTTATTGTGCTGTGTGGAGATGCTGCTGCAGTCGGTCAGAAAAAGGAGTACGAATGTTTGGTTTGCCAGCTGACATGGAGAGGAAGAAAAAATGGTTGACTCGAGTCAACAGGAAGAACTTTACAATCACTAAAGAGGCAAACAACAGGTACTTTTTCCACAAAGAAAGAACTCATCACTGGCTAAATGTTTGGTTTATTAAAAACATCACTGCAGATCATCTTCAGGCTCCACTGAACCCCCTGTGATTCTTGTGCTGAGAGAGGGAGAACAAGAGAAAGGTTAGACAAACCTACACATCTGTAAAGATTTATCCAGGTCATGTTTAACCAAGAAAAGTTGAATCG